GCGAAATTGAATCACGGCTGCGGCGGCTGCATTTTCGATGGAGGCGAAAATGCTGTAGGCCCGTGTGCTCAGATTTGGCTGCACATTAAAAAACCCCAGGTGGCCGATATTTACGGAGCCCTCCACTACGGTATCTCTCATAATCATATGTTGGTTTAGGAACATCAAACCTCACATATTAATCAATCAACTGGCTGTTCATCATAGAGTTTGTGAGCACTGTTGATAAAAAAAAAACGAATGGTACGCCGTCGGCTTCTGGACTCGTACGTAGGGCACTAGCACTTTGTAGCGTGTGCACTTATTTGTGCTATATTAATTATATACTCCTTGTATATATTGAATTTATAACTTCGATATTTGTGCGCGTGCGTGTAAATAGCAAGCCATACTTATTTTGGGACAGGTGAAATGGGAGGAGGGTAAATGTTCTATAACGTTTTATACTTAGCCAAAGGTAAATATTTTTTTCAAGATAAGCTTTAAAATGTACGTATAAATGAGGCTTTAGGGCATGTATTTACAATAGTCTTTATACGTCAGTAAGTAACAGGCCCTTAGGTGGTCTACGTAATGTAGTTTTGATATAACAGTAAGAAGCACGCCTTTAGACAGCCTAAGTAATATAGTCTTTATACAGTAGTTAAAGGCGGCCTTCAGGCGGTCTACATATTATACCTTTTATACATAGCAAGAAAGAGGCCTTCAGGTGGTCTACATAATAAGAACTTTATACTATCGTAAAAAAGAAGCCTTCAGACGGTCTATTACCTATTGTTACTAAGCGGAAATGTTCATATACGGTTACCAATGTTACTAGATGGTTACTAGGTGCACGGTCTACTCAATGTTACCAGCTATATTATTGCGATAGCAATTATATGGACACTCTCGGCTGGATTCTGCTGCCGGCGTCGGCGTCACTCACCGTATATCTATACGTATCTATATATATGAAAATGCAAGAAAGACAAATAATCCATAAAATTATTCCGACGCGTGGAATCAAACGTTAAACCTCTGAATTGTGAGTGTGAGGCGTTAGCCACTGAGCCACGAAGGAGCACCTCCTGCAACGTTCAAACTGCAAGCTATTTATATCTACGACTTACCACTGGTGACGGGCATCTCGGGGCGAACTGTCGTGTTTTCAGCATGACCAGCAAGATGGTGCAATGAGCGCGCGTCACCACATCGTCACGACGCGGCAGCACACGCTCTCTCTCTCACGCGTACTTTGCCCCGTGGAGAGGCGGCAAGGTGGACCTAACGCGTCCGCTTATCTCGCGGTGGGGACAGGAGACAATCGTACATCTTGGCTGGCCTTGGGCTTTCACCAGAAGGATTGTGTTGTAGTTACCGGTCGCATAAAGGTCACTGCATTCGTAGCACAGTCTTCGTTTGCGAAAAGGTCACGCTTTCAGACACAGCGAAGTAGCAACTGAGACGCTTATTACCCGCAGGTCGCGGGTTCAAATCCCGGCTGCGGCGGCTGCATTTCCGATGGAGGCGGAAATGTTGTAGGCCCGTGTACTCAGATTTGGGTGCACGTTAAAGAACCCCAGGTGGTCAAAATTTCCGGAGCCCTCCACTACGGCGTCTCTCATAATCATATGGTGGTTTTGGGACGTCAAACCCCACAAATCTAATCTGAGACGCTTATTCGCGTTCATTTGAACCTGTGAGCACGTTTCATGCGTCATTTGTGCGTGAGAAACGCGAGGCACGTTTCGATCTACTTGCTATTCATGACCATCCAATTTGTTGCTATCGCGTTCCTTGCTTAGTCTTTGCGGCAAAGCTGTGACTTTTCGTAAGGGTATTAACTCCGATTGATATGTGGGGTTTAATGTCCCAAGACCACCGTATGATTGTGAGAGACGCCTTATTGGAGGGCTCCAGAAATTTTGACCACCTGGGGTTCTTTATTGTGCACCCAAATCTGAGCACAGAGGCCTACAACATTTCCGCCTCCATCGGAAATGCAGCCGCCACAGCTGGGATTCGATCCCGCGACCTGCGGGTCAGCAGCCGAGTACCTTAGCCACTAGACCACCTCGGCGGGGCTATTAACTCCGGTTATCAATGAAACTGTAAGAGGTCTGACCTACATGTTCCCTTGTTACATATATGCATGATCAGTCGCTTTTCCTTTCTCTTACTCCGCTTGCCCTTTAATATTTTTTGGTGAGCCACCGAGGCGTGCAGTCTCTTCGTGTATACTTATTTATTTACTCATTCAGCACTGTACCAATTTTAGTTTTGTTCTCTTTTCGTTTCAGTTTTGCTAGCAAACAGATATAGTGAGTACGCGTTTTAAAATTGCCTCTGTCCATGCGTTTCTCATTTAATAACCTGTTGAATTGTGAGCTTTTTTTATTGTCAATGTCCCTCGTGAAATACGCAAATTTCGTGGTTTCATGGTTTGCCACTATAAATGTTCTGTTTTCGTTCCCATTTGCCAAGTGACCGAATTTTCTACACACCAGTTAAATTATGTGATATAATAATACCTCGGCTTTTGTGTGCCAAAACCGAGATATGATTGCGAGGCATGCTGTAGTGGAAAGAGTGAACCGGCGACCTTCGGGAGCAGACGAGCATTGTAACCGCTACACCACTGCGGTGGGCCTGTCAAAGACTCTATCTCACCCTAAATTTTGGGATACTCAACTTATGTCCACACATGTGCACATCTCTGCATACCATCTCAACTACATAAAAACGTCACGATACCGTAAGCTGGCAGACAAGTATAACACGATAATGAAAACGTACACCCTGTGACATATACATACTCACTACTACTTTACTAATGTTAGACCAGAAAAGCTTTTAGTGTTCTTCATAATAAAAGAGAGAAGAAAGGAAGAATTAAAAAAAACTACCTGTGGTAATGCATGAATTGATGATGATTTTCAATATACAATTACCACTACGGCCTGCAAGCAGGCCTCAACCACACTCCGATTGTTCTTACAAAAAAACACGACAGGTACTGATTCGTTCCCTGTAGGCCAGACTGCTAATAACATGGAGGTCGTCCCAATCTACAGCGTCAACATTGGCCTCCACGAAAGCATGGCTGGAAAGTCGGGCCTCGCGACACTGCACGCAAGAAGAGACAGTCGAGCTCTGTTTGCCCTGGCAAGTGCCCTTCCCGCACCCATTGGCTATACGTGAACGCTCGGCCGGAAGCGCTGCGCCGGAACTCGGGTTTCACGGCCGGCCTGCGGTCGTGAGTCGCGCGGGGTCCGTGCCGAGGGTCCTCGTGAAACGACGAGTCATGCGTTGCGTCGTTGAACTTTTAGTGGCACGCGCCGGCGGCATAAAGAAAAGCTGGAAGGGAATTTCGGAAACAGGGAAAGGGCGCCCGAATCGTACCACAAGAAAGCGCGCACGAAATCCACGGCTACCCCTTTTGTGAAGAGTACACGGTCGACTGGACGCATGATCAGCACGTGGCTTTACGAGGAAGAAGAGATGGTGAATAAGTGTTGTGAGCACCGATCTGTTCATTGACCGTGAGAATGAGTTGGTCCTACTATGGAAAAGAAAGGGATATGGGCATATCAAGTTGGCGTAACGAACAAGGAAAAAAAAAACAGAATAACGACGTGATTCAATCATTTCTGCAAACTGCTAATAGGACGGCAACCGATATCATCACGATTGCGTGCCCCGCCGCGGTGGTCTAGTGGCTAAGGTACTCGGCTGCTGACCCGCAGGTCGCGGGTTCGAATCCCGGCTGCGGCGGCTGCATTTCCGATGGAGGCGGAAATGTTGTAGGCCCGTGTGCTCAGATTTGGGTGCACGTTAAAGAACCCCAGGTGGTCAAAATTTGCGGAGCCCTCCACTACGGCGTCTCTCATAATCATATGGTGGTTTTGGGACGTTAAACCCCACAAATCAATCAATCAATCACGATTGCGTGATGAGCTTTCGCAAAATTCGGGATATGGTTAGCACGTTCTAATAGTGGAAAGTCGAAGGCCGACATGGATATTCTGCTGAACTTCCTACTCATGCAGAGAATTGCAACATTGCTGATGAAAGTTGAGCAGCAGATTAGAAGAAGCATAAAAAAAGAAAACGTTTCAAGAACTGCTGCGCATTGTCATAAACGTCAATTTCCACTCAACGAGAGAAGCTTCGATTTTTGAAGTGTTTATAGAACTAAGGTTGTTGTTTACCTTGAAACGCGCGCTTTCGAGAAACGTTGCTCACTCACGCTCACAACAATCCGGAGCAGGTCACAGTGGCCCCTTCAAGGAACTATGGACGACAATATCCCCCGTATTCTAGAACGTTCCTTCACTCAACACTTCACCTTCCCTTGAGAAAGCCCATGAGAGAGTCGTCTATAGGCACGGCAATTCACTGCATATCAGCGATAATCTGCTGCGGTTCTTGAGTAGCGCAGCGTCATTTCGAGCCGAGCTGTGGCACAGTGCTCAACTCTGTCAAGTGAAGGGTGAAAGTCGAGTCGAGGAGCGTTTGCGAATACGGAGGTATGTATAAAGTTCTACGTAAAATGCAACTTCCGCGACCGTGCCACATACACTCAAGGGAACGTCCTCGCACGTGCTGAGCGGTAAACTTCATTTCCCACCTTGCACGATGAGGTCCTGAACAAGTGATAGTGCATTCATTAACCGATAGTGCATTCAGGCCTCAGTCGTTGGACAAAGGGGATGGCGAGCAGCGTCCACGTCAGCAGGCGTGGTTGCAGAACTCTCCGCCGCGGCAGCAGCGTCGTCGGAGTCGGTGCGTATGTATAGCGCACGGTGACAGCACGCGAATGGCGCGGCCCTTCCGATCCGGAGGAACTCAAGCGCGCCGTTGGGCGGGTTCAGAAAAGGCTCGATCGAGAGTCGGAAGACGACGGCCAAAAGCTGCCGGCGACGCGTGCCGCTGTCGTCTCCGCGCGCGATCCTCGTCCCGCATCTGGCGCGCGGTGACAGATGCTCGCCCACACGCTTGCTGCCGACACCGCCTTAATGGACGCCCTAAAGAGGATTGAGAAGAAGAAGAAGAAAGATAAAATGAGTCTGATGTGCCTGCCTGCCAAGCGGGCTGTCACCGAACACGCCCACCTCTCTTTCTTCGCTCCACTGGCTCCACAAGGTAGCATGTGCATGTGTGCCCGCCTGCGGGGCCTACCGACACGCGAACGCTTATCGGCGATGAACTCTCAGCCGGCCGGCTTGCGCCGAAGCGGTATTTAAGCGCGTACTCCGAAAAACTGACTTTTTTCCGTGTCGTTTACTCCGACGTGATTAACGCTATGCAAACTATAAGAATGGTATCTCTTCATTGGGGCTGTTCAAGGCATCGCAACGAAACTGTTTCTTGGACATATAGATTTGCCGAAAGTCGTAATGGAGAGAGAGGCGGAGTGCAATTACGTATGCGCGATGCCCGTTTCCCGAGAGCACTGGAACAAAAAAATAAAGACTGACGTGTGGGCGTCGTCATGAAAGTGCACTACAGTAAGAGTACTGCACTCGCGCGCAACCGTACTGCAGCGATCTTAAACATGCTTCAAGCAAGGCCCATGTGCTGAATGAACGGCCGTGGCTCGACGCATCAGTTTCTCAGTGCGCCAGCATTTTCCATGGCAGCACAAGGCAAGGAAGCGCCGTCGTATATATAAGCGATGGGACGGTCCTTGAAGCACGCTTGAAGCACGCTTTAGAGTTCTGCAGTATGACATGTCACGTAAAATAATTATTGTTAGGTCTTTACGTCCCAAAACCACGATGTGATATACGAGGGATGGCGTATATATAGTGGAGGGCCCCGGAATTTTAGACCACCTCGGATTCTTCAACGTGCACCAAAATTTATATACTCACACGGGCCTCACTCATTTCGCCATGGCAGTGCGTAAGCGCAGACCCGTGATTTTATTGCATATTTCGCAGGCTTTCTTTAAACGCTGGGGGGAAAAAAATAACTGCCACCACATGGGGTGCACTGTCGCGCTCAGTATGATTTATGACACGCTGTCTGTGCGCAAGATGGCGCCAACACCTCAAAGTGGCACCTGCATGTCAAAAAAATATTCGTAAATTAAACTTTCTCAATTATCGGTAAAGTATCTGAACGAATGTAACGTTTGTCGGTGTCGTTGTTAAGGTGTGTGGTCTCTTTAACCACAGCCAGCGTGTTCCAACTGATATTGAGTGCTACTTCACGTTGCCACACACACACACACACAAAATAAATTAGTAAATTGGTCGTTTTGTAGTGACCTCTACAACTTGACAAAACGCGTTTTATCCTAAATTGGTTATGGTTACAGGAAACACTCCGTATGTTTTAGTATATTAGTTCAATATTATGCTATAAACGTGTTCACAGCAGGCAGCCTTGCAAGCATTGTATGCCCCCCCCCCCCCTTTTTAAACGGACAAACGCAAGACTGTTGTCAACGTATATCAGACGATGCGTGACATTGTAGTTCTCGTCTTCATTGCAGTTGGCACGCTGATAAGTCACGCAACATCTCCCTATTTCTCACGGTAAATGCATGAATCCATATGGCTTACGAGATCTATCTCTCAACCACGTCTTCTTCAACGAATCGTGCCACGTTTTCAATTGCAATAATTTCTCAGTGGATGAAAGGCACTTTTACACTTCCTATCTATCTATCTATCTATCTATCTATCTATCTATCTATCTATCTATCTATCTGTATGTATATGTGTATGTATGTATGCATGTATGTATGTATGTATGTATGTATGTATTATGTATGTATGTATGTATGTATCTACGTCAGCTCTTAGTTCATGGTCTGCCTTCCTGTGTTGTGTGTGTGTGTGTGTGTGTGTGTGTGTGTGTGTGTGTGTGTGTGTGTGTGTGTGTGTGTGTGTGTGTGTGTGTGTGTGTGTACCCGCCTATGCACCACAGGGGAAGAAACCTGCAAAAGTAAACAAAAATGTTAAAAGCCAATAATACTTAATGCTGAGTATTGCGTGTAACAACCACGATATAGTACCATTTAGCGTGCTGTGTTAGGGGACTTCAGGTTAATTTTCATGACCTGAACTTCTCTCGCGGGCATGTGGGTATAAGCACACGTGTGTTCTTTGCAGTTGGCTCCATCTAAATGTGACAGCCATGGCCGGGTATCGAACCTGCGCATTGGAGCTGAGCGGCATGATGGCTTCCATGCTAAGCTTCCGTGGCAGGTCATTTTTTGAGACAGCTGTGTGGATTAAGCAAAATAAAGACAAACGGTCTCTTTTCTCTCTCTTTTTTTTTGGGGGGGGGGGGGGGAGCAGGCAATTTCGCCGACAAACATGCCGCAATGAACCCCAGTCAGCAATCACGTGGTGAGCCGAATTAAGTGTGTTACATGAGCAGTTGAGATGATCGTTGTCTAACATAATCTGTGATGGTGTATGTCTAACCTTAACTGTGACTGCAGTGTTAACTACCATCCTTATGGCAATGTAATAAACATTATACGTATATATTCATATACTATCGTCAAACGTTGTTCGTCCCCGTTGTTCGTCCCCGCCAATGAACGCTGGTTATGACAAACACATCAGCGTGTCATGTGCACTTGGCTAAAAAAAGTATAGACACTTGTGCTCAAACGTGGCATAAACTACCGAGGCCCCAATGTACACAGTCGACGTACATGGTATGTCGACGATATAGGCACACAACTACTCCCTTTACACGAACACTCGATACGCCTTGTAACGCTTGTTTGAAAACAGCGAAGTACGGAAGCAACTCCTCGCTGACTGCTTCGCATGCGATCGATTCCCGCAATTCCATCAGAATGTTCTGTGCGTATAAGCAGCGATCCCCGAGGGAACCATGCGTTGTCTGTTGGCTTGCGTAATGCTCACTGCCCCTGCATACTTAGTAGAGAGAGTGAACAGATTTAACTCGTCCACTGCATGTAATACACCGTGAATCTTACAGTACTTGGCGTGAGTGAATTCGTCCACGTGGTTTAAGACTGCTTCTAATAGTCATCCGGCACGCATGCACCAGTAATCAACGCATACGAGCACATCTGTTCGCGACAAAGACAAGCGCGGGCGTTCACCACCGGGGCCAAGCCATGGAAACCATCCATGCGTCTAAAACCATGCTGTGCGTGCGGCGCAAGTCAAGTCACGGGCAAAAAAAAAAAAATAGAGACAGATGCTGACTTGTGAAAGTTTCGCGAGCATTTTCTTAAAAACAAAGTAGCAAAGAGAGAGAGAGAGAGACAAAACGAAGAGCCAGTACCCTCGCGCAACGAAGTCTAACGATGCGTGAAGATGTACCGCGGGCAATTAACGCCAGGTGTTTAACGCGGCTTAAAAAGAGCCAGCAGCACACGTCAAGACGTCGGTGCAGGGGCGGGATCGAAGCAGATTGGTGGGGTCCGGTGTATACTCTGCCCGTCACGAATAGCATCCCTAAACGATCCCGGTAAGATATATATGTACACACGCGATGACGAAAGAGAGCGCTGCTTGAACACACTGTGTGCGCTATCGGCGGTGTTCCGCATACATATACGTAGAAAATACGAGCAGAGCATGCGGATGCATAAAAAGAGTGTTGAAGCCCGTGGGACGCTATAGCTGTGTTGGATCGCTTGGCTGTTTTATCCTGTGTGTGTATGGGGAATCTATCGGGCACTCTTCATAAGACATCAACACGTTTTTGTTATTGCTTACATAATGAATACTATTTAAATTGTTTTGTGGGTGCACTTGCTTGGGTGCACGTGAACGAAGTGGCGTAAAGGCGTCCCATACAAAAGAGGAGAGATAACACGAAGTGAAGCTCTGTATACTATATAATACTACATGAGGGTTTTACGCACTATCTGCAGTGTTTCTTATTGTTGTTTTAACGTTGCGGTATTTCGTCGTGTAAGGTTGTACGCCTGTAGGTATACGATGAGTGAACTGTGGATGGATGAATGGATAGATGAATGTATGTAGGAACTTTATTAGGTCCTTCGGAATGCCCTTAAGCAAGTTGCGGGCCGCTACCACGTCGAAACAGGAAGATTAATTCTCTCTGTTGCGTCGCAGGCCCGTTGGACTGCCCATAACTGTTGTTCGAGTTCGGAGCTGGTAAGAGCACGCTCCCATTTGGAAGGCGTGATAACTTCACCACCGCGTAACGAGAGGCACCGCCAGAATATGTGTTCTAAATTAGCTATATCATTCCTGAAGGAACGTGTATTAGTTCGCTGTATTTCGGTAAAACTCTTGTGCAATAGCGCGGGGTTAGGGTACGCCCCGACTTGATGAAGCCTGAGTGTCAGAGCTTGAGGTCTGCTTACTTTTCTGTGTGGTGGTGGGTATATTGTCTCCGCGCCAGGTAGAAATGTTTTGCCAGTTCAGGAATGTTCTTAGTTTTTACACGGAAATATTTTATGCCATGGTGCTCCACAGCTCCGCTGACGCATTTCCGCCACAGATATGGCGTTCTGAAATATACACTAACTGGTGGCAGAGAAAAACATTGGGGGGCCCTTAAGCTTCACCTTTAAGAGTTGAACGCGATAGCGAAATCCGGCCCCTAGTGCACCCTTAAACCGCTAAGTGCATATATATTAATATCTTTTGTTGCACACATACACACACATGCACACACGCATACGCACAAAAATGCGCGTGCGCGCAAGCGCGACGTATATATAGTGACTGTGCAGTGTAACTACTTTCCTGTGCTCGAACGGCGCTCTTCTGTATAGTCGAGCCACGTTTTTCACAATATCTCACACATGGCAAACATACACACACGCACGCGCGCGTGCGAATAGTACATACAGGTTTTTTATCTAAAGCAAGAGTCACATGGCCTTCAAGATACACGTCGTGCGCTTGCCATCTCGGAGGCATAAAGAGTCGGAGTATGCCTCACAGGTGGCAGCACATTATCTAGCATTTGCTGTTTGCTTGATCAACGCCTCTGGAAAGCTTCGATCCCGTACCGGAGCTTCGATCCCGTACCGTGCCTCCAACCATGCACCAAGACGCCGCCCAGCAAACGCTTCTTCCTACGCCGACGCCATGTCCCGGTGTACCCCGCATCCGCGACCCTCCTGTCTTCACCGGAGCGGATGGCACCGACGTCGAGGACTGGCC